GAAGAAAATCCAATTGTGGATATATTTATTATTTGTCCTTTTTTTTAAAAAGAAATAAGTGTTATATATCTCAAATATTTATTTCTATTTATATAATTTGCCGAGTTTGTCATTCAAAAAAGTATTGCTCGAAATAAAAATAAAATAATTTTAATTGAATACACCTGATTTAAGAACAAGGTTTTATTATAATTGTTACTGATATTCAAATGAATAGCAAAAAGAATGTATTTATAAATAGGACAAAAACTCCAGGGGTAAGCAAATTTATTGGGAAAGTCCCACTAAACTCTTTAGTTCGACTACATTTTTTTCTTCTTTTTTAATCTTTTAACTGAAGAACATTCAATTTTTAAGTTGAGTAAATAATGACGAAACAAAGGTTATGAGTTGTTGTAATATTTTTTATTCAAAAAACAACAAAACATAAATTTAGCATTGTTAATGATTAAATGGTTTAAAGTTTTTATTTAACACATTCATTAGAAAGTCCATTCCCTTTATAGTTTCCAGTTGTAAAGTACCAAAAAGTTCCATTTATTTCAAAGACCATAAAACTATTTTGAGGAGGGCAATATTGACAGCCCGTTTGTGGAGATAGGTATTGAATAGTTTCTTGAAGTTCTCTTATATTAGGTTGAATAAAAGGTGATGTGACTAATTGTTGAAGAGGAGAAAAGTGTTGAGGACAAACAAAATTTTGATTTTTTTCATCGTCACTAGGTAATTGGATGAGGGGTTCAACAACATCATCAACAGTTGTATTTTGTTCATAACATGGGGTAATAAAATCTTGAAGAAATTCTTGTGGAAGATTATTTGAAGATATTGTAATAGATTTATCTTTGTTTTTATCAAAAAGGTATTTGAGAGTACGTTGCATCCAATTTCCAAAATTGTATCTAATAAAGCTTCTCTCATAAGTTAATCCATCAACTTCAAGTTCATAAATAACAAGATTACTTTCTTTTTCTTTCTTTTTATATGAAGATTTTCCTTTTCTATATTTAATTTTAATGTCATCAGTTTCACTTCTAGTACAACACCACTTTGTTAATTTGTTCATTAACGTATCATGAACAATTTTCCTCTCTGTTCTAGCTTTATCTCGTTTTTTAAGTTCTCCTTTTTCGCAGAGTTGTTTGACATAAGAACTAGCCCTTTGAAAAATATCTTCAGCTTTATAGCATTGGCCATCTACTTCAGCAAAAATAATATCAAGTTGGTTTCTCCTATCAATATAATGTTTTCTTTTTGGACGTAAAATCTCAAATTTCCCACCCTTTAGAATAGCATATTTTACTATCAGTCCCCACTGTGCAAAGATGTATTCTTCATGTACCTTCTTTTTTTCTTTAGGTCTTTCTTGACCAACTTTGATCATGTCCCTATTTTTCTTTGTTGTTTTATTAGTTCTTACTAGTCCTTTATATTTGGCTGTTGTATGAAAATATTCAAACTGCCAAGAAAAAATAAGAACTTAAAATTAAAAATAAAAAATTAATTTCATTATTATTTCTTATGAGGTATTAAAATGATAAATAAATAAATATTATTGTTAATTGGTTATGTCATAATAAAAGATGAAAATGAGTAATAAAATGGAGTTAAAGAAAACTGTGCGACACATAATCTATTTATTAATCAATAACAACCAAACTCATGTTTTTACTGATACTGTGCACAATACCCACGACAATTTTAGGATATATAGTAAAAAATTAGGAGTGTTATTTTTTAAAACCAATAGTATAACAGTAACTGATAGAATGAAAGTTTAATTATTCCTTATTACTAAAAAGGATTCAATGTGAGATAATTATGAGGGTTAGTACTATTACAGAAATATATCCCACGTCTATAGAAAAAAATATTATTTGTTCTAAAAAACAGATATGAGTAAGGTGGAACTAAGATAAAATTATAATAAATAAAAAATGGAATTAATATTTTAAAAGATTCACAGTAAATTTAAATTAAATTATTTAATTAATATGTTCTATAAAAGTACAGTACTGGTTGTTAAATAACAATTATACTGACAAAGCACTATCTGTACGACACAATTATTACACACTATAATTTGGTTGTAGGCATGTTATTAATAAAAAAGAACAAAAGTGAATCTACCTTTCTATTTCATGTTTTTAGTTGGTTAAATATTTGTAGGTGAATATGAGATATGACTAGGTGAAAAGTATTAACAACCAATAAAATAATTGAGTAAAGGAAGTTGTACTTTGAATTGGGATTTAGATATAATTTAAAATATCTAAGAAGGATAGTTTGTTCTTAGTGTTATTAATGAGTATAATATCTTATTTATTGATTTATATATTTTAGAATATAATAATTTTTATGATATCTGTTTATTTACTTTTTGGAAAAAGCCAAAGTATAATGAACATATTGAACTAGTATTCAAATAAGCTTTTGATTGACAAACAACTGAAATTATTAAATGACATGAAAATTCTATAGTATATTATCTATATGATTATTTCTTATATATAAGAAAAGAACAATACAAGAATTCATGGTTTTATGTTTATATGAGTTAAAAAAATGTAAAACGATACATATTCAGAATTATAGTATTTTATTTATTTATTATTTAAAGGTATCTAAAATAACTGATTTAATTAATAAGACAAAAATGAAAAACGGTTATATTGGTAAAGTTTAAGAACCGACTTTATCTTTAACACAAGCCGAAGTCTAAAAAATAAGAGAATTAGTTTTAATTAGTGATAACAATGTTTGAGTACCAGCTACAACATGTGAATCTGAATCATTTTTCCTTTAACTTTGAACAATATTTTGTTATAGTTTAGTTAATAAAATAGATAATAATTATCAACATGGTTTTCCTAACCATTATGATTTTTCTGTTAATATTTTCAAGAAGATTATGGTATATGAAATATTTCACTGACGTCATTAAATTTGAAATAAAACGGTATATCTCAGACGTATTTTAAAATATAATCAAATATTGTTTAATCTCTAGTTCCGTTTGTGTTAATATAGACAAATAGGAATAGTTAAAAATAACTGGCAATATTTTCATTCACTTACACATATCTTTTGGTTTAACAGTGTCGTGTCTTAAACTTTAGACTGAAAATGTAGTGAATCAAATAGGGATCAGCGGTTTTACTCTCTTTATATATTAATAAGTTTGTTTGTTAATTGCTCAATCAAAATTAGATATATTTATGATATATTTATTATTTTCATTGATTGTACAAAACATAAACAAATAGTTGATTACTTGTGTATTTTAATTCTAATAACATCAAATTCTTTTTCAGTGATTTTTCATATACCACGATAATTTATTTTAAAACCGTGTTAACAGCAGTGTTCTTAATTCTAAAGTAGCTGCCATTTTATGTTTATCTAATATTATTTTTATTAAATTTTTTCCTGTTTTTAACTGTTTCAAAGTTTGGAAAACAATTGATTAATGCTTTTGTATATCTTGGTTATGTAATATAAGTTTTACAATTTTTATATATTCTTTGGTTAGTGTTTGTTTCTTTGTTAGTAACTTAGATTAGTTGTATTAACTAAAAACACAGTTAATTCTTCTTCATCTTTTTTGGTATAATTATAGTATAGATATTTTCCATAGAACGTATCTCAAAAATTAAAAAGACACAACTTTACTTTCATTTTATAATTAGTAACATATTAATATCATAATCTTTGATTTTGTTTATTACACTTTGACCTAGAATAAAAAAGAAAGAGATTATTTGATAAAAGAGTTCTCATGAAATATTCCATTTAAAAATATATGATCAAAGTAAAAATAAGAAGTCATTCACCATTAGTAAGGTTTATCTGTTTGTGAGCCTTAATGACTTGAACCTATTTTTATCATGAATAAACTTATTAGGTCTCTTGTAAAATGCAAATATTTTCTATTTGTCAAAACCCATTTCAGCTAACTTCTATACTAAAAATTACTTCTTTTTTTTTCATATATAAAAAATTTTTGTTGTTTAAACTTATTTAAAACATAAACCTACAAATATATTTAAAATACTAAGTGTAATGACTATTGCTAAATGATTGGAAACCATGAACGTATGAATAATTACATAGAGATTGATAAATAACATGTTGTTTGTTATGGTTGTTTTATTATTAGTGAATTTAAACTATAAAGCATTCAAAAAGATAAGACATATTTGTACCTGTTCATATCTTTTAGTCCTCTCTTTTTGAGAATGTTTATTACTTAAACTATCTTTTGATAAAATTTATTGATTCATGAAATTATTTTCAGTATTCCTGAAGATGATGTGAATGATTTATTTACAAAACACTGCCATAAATGCACAGACTAATCCAAACAGATTTTAACCAGTTATGAAGAAATTATAAAGAGTGGTCCTAAAATAACATCAAAGAGAAAATTAAAATGACTTTTAACTGTCACTATAAACCAAAATAATAATTAATAGTAGTTTATATTTTATTTTTAGTACTATAAATAACCATAAATAACTAATAATATTAAATAGAAATTAAATGAAATTAATAAATAGAATAAATTTGTTACTTCAATATTTCATTTTGATTATTTTAGTTTTATTTTATTTTATTCTTTATTCTTTTTATTCACTTACTCTTTCCTCTATGTTTTGTTGTTTATGTTTCTATTCTTTTGTTATATTCTAATAAAAATTTAAATACTAAATACTCATCATTCTTATGTTTATTTATATTTGTTAATTATGTTAATAATAATTGACATCATTTTACTTTAATTTAAATAATTATAGTTTTACACATAAAACTACAATAGCTTCTTATTTACTCTCTTTTATTTTTGTTTTCTTTGTGTTATATTTGATTTATTTTTCTTTATTAATGATTTATTAAGTTATTTCTTATTTTTCTATTTATTTTATTCATTATATTTCTGCTATATTTCTTCTTGTTTTTTTTTTTAATTTTCTTAATTCATTTATTATTCATGTCTTTTATTTTCTTATTCTCTTATCTATAATTTTCATATTCTCATTTCTTGTTGTAAACATTAGATTTCTTCTTGAAAAGTAAATTAAGTATTTGTTTCATCAAGTTGTTCATATTTTTTTGTTTCATATTCAATTTCTTTAATTGTTTTTATTAATGTTAACATCTTCAAATTATTTTGAACTTCCTCTTAAGATATATCATTATGTTTCTAGATTTCTTCTAGTTTTTCTTATTATTCTGTTTATCCTTTATCATTCTTTCTTATTAATTTATTTATCTCCTTTATATCTCTTTCTTTTTCTATCCTTTTGTATCTTCATTTCTTCGATTTCTATTCTTTATTTTTCTTTCCCTTTATCCTTTTATTTTTTATCTATTTCTATCCTTTTTACTCTTTCTGTTCGTTCATCTTTTATTCTTATTCTCTTCTTTTTCTTATTTATTTATCCATTTTTATTATGTTTTTAGTATCATTATTATTCTTTCTGTTTTATTTGTGATTTATTCATGTTAATTATTCATTTTTATAATTTTTTTTACTGTCTCTTTGTTTCAACTTTCTTTACTTAATATGGTTATCTCCAAACTATCATGTTTCTTCTTATTATCATCTTAACATCACTATCATTTTTTTTTAGTTTCATTGGATATTATAAATACATTACAAAACATGTTATTATAACAACTTAATTTATAATGAATATAACAGCATTATTTACTATGATTTGTGATATATCATTTTGAAATTTTAAGAATATCATATTCTTTAGTAAATAATTTATTAGCCCATTCTTTATTTCATCAAAATAATATAGTAAATGTATCAATTGTTGCTTTCATTGTTATTTATTTATTTTTTTATTGAATATAATCAATACATTTATATTAAAATAGATTACGCTGAAGAATTTGAATTCGAAATATATGTATTGTATATTAAGATTCAAATATAATTATTTTGTATATTTTTAGTATTAATATTTTTTAATTTAACTGATTGATTTAGTTGAACATTTTTAATGTTATTATTGATATTTGTTTAATCAATGAATGAAATTGAATTAAAAATAATAAAAAGAACAATCGACGAACGAGTATATTAAAATAAATATAGATTATTGATATTTTCATTCTGTTTTAATTTTTCAATTTATATCTCAAAATTATAAAATGAAATAATATCATCGTTATTTATTCTATTCTTAATATTCTCTTTATTCTTAATATTATTTTTCTTTACTCGTCTCTATTATTATCCTTATTAATATCTTTATTTCTTAAATATTATTTCTTATTCTTCCTTTTTTTATTTATTTCTTCTTTATCATTATTATTTTTCTCTTATTCTTATTCATATGATTTATTTTTACACTAATTCTGAACATATCT